TGGGTCTAACATGAGCCATTTTTCTAGGAAATTGACCTAGGGTCTTGGTGCTGATATTAACTTTTTTTTTTAAGTTTTTTTCTTTTTTTTTTAAATTTTTTAAACATTTATTTATTTTTGAGAGACAGAGGAAGACAGAGCGTGAGAGGGGGAGGGGCGGAGAGGAGGAAACACAGAATCAGAAGCAGGCTCCAGGCTCTGAGCTGTCAATACAAAACCTGACGGGGGCTTGAACTCACGAACCGTGAGATCATGACTTGAACCAAAGTTGGATGCTTAACCGACTGAGCCATCCAGGTGCCCTAAGTTTTTTTTTCCACTGTTTATTTATTTATTTTTGAGAGAGAGAGAGAGAGAGAGAGAGAGAGCATGAGTGGGGAGGGGACAGAGGGTCTGAAGTGGACTCTGCATGGACAGCAGCAAGCCCCATGCTGGGCTCGAACTCATGAACTGTGGGATCATGAACTGACCTTAAGTCAGACGCTGAACCGACCGAGCCACTCAGGTGCCCCTACTTTTCTTCACCAGGCATTTCATGTTGGAATCAGCTATTTACCAAGGAATTTCCCTCAGCAAATTTCAATACCAGCTACAGCACCTTGGCCACACCCCCCACAAAAATGGGGATACGGAAGGAACCCCAAGCTGGGGTGGCCAGTCTTAAGCCATTGTTAACCTCCTTCTCCTGATTCTAGGGGAGCTCTTGGAGGGAACTCTGGGACTCCCAACCCTCCTAGAGTCAAGAAAAGCTGTCAGGAGGGCCCTTCCCAGAAAGTCTTACTTTGCAGCCATGCAGGGTGTTGGGCCAGTGAAGCCAAGGCCTCTGAGGACCCCCTTCACCTCTGGGATTCTTCAGTGACATCCCCAATCTGTCTCTGCACACGCCCCACTACCTGGCTGGTTCCTACCCTGGCTTCAAGCTCCCTTGTCACTATTTCTGGGGAGCCCTTTCTCAATCTCTCCAGTCTCTGCCCCCAGTCTGAGCCAGGGCCTCCTGTGGGATTCCAACTTCCTTAGCATCCCAGCCCTAAGCACCCTAAGTCATCATTGCCTCTTTGTGTGCCTATTGTCCCCAAGGATGGGAAGACAGTGTGTGTTTTGTCTCTATATCCTAGCACCCAACACAGGGGGACGCTTGATAAAGCTCTGCTGAACTGAAGAGGGTACATTTTAGTGCCCACGTGGTGACATCGGTTCCTTTTACAGGCCTCCTCTTCTTCTGTTGAGTCTCCTGCAGGGAAAGGTGCCTGTGGAGAACAGCGAGAGGCAGGGTTCGGGGAAGGCCAACATCTAACACCAGGCAGATGTGGATTCAAATCCTATTTAGCTGTTCAACTGATTTATCTGAGCCAGAGTATTCCCATGTGTGAAAGGGGGATCCTAATCCCCACCACAGAGGCAGACAGAGTATGATGAATAAATGAGAAAATGTGAGAAAAACTACATCCACAGATCAGGTATACACTTGCCTACTAAATCATGGAAGTGTTAGAACTGTAGAAAGTGTGGAAACCCCAGATGTCCAGGGTAAATGGGAATGAACTCATTCTGCCCAATGGACTGTCGCAGGGAAGGCCCTCTACTTGAAGGGACTTTTGAGTTGGGCTTTGAAGGGTGACTAGGAGCTCCCCACAAATAGTGAGAGAACATGGAGCTGAGAAGGTTGAGAGTCACTTAGGGAGAGTACTCTCGGCCTCAACAGGGAGTAACAGCAAGAAAAATTTTAAGATTAAGCAAAAAGGACTTCTCATCCCAAGCTTAGGGCAGAATTTTAATCCAGGATTTGACTGGAAGTGCAAAATGGCCTAAGAAGGGTCAAGGGCCCCTTCATTATAAGTCAAAGGTCAACTGGTTCAACCTTCTATGGCTAAGCCACCCAAGGACTTTTGTCCCTAAACCTGCTTCCTTTGTGCTAGAAGTGAGTTCTCCTTGAGTGAGTAGGGGAAGGAGACTCCCCCTGTTTCCTGGGTTCTTAGCCAATAGGCTGGGCCTCTGGCCAAGCAGCCCCTTCCCTCCCTCTCCAAGAGCCTGACCCCGCACCCTGCGTAGGTTCTTCATTTCTCTCTGCAGCCTTGACCCAGGGCAGTGATACCAGCCAGGGAAAGCCCCCTTTCCTGGGGCTGGGGGAGGGATGGAAGGAGGCAGGGTCCATTTTCTAGGTCAGAACTCCTCGCCCTTGCCCTTCCTCCCCTAGCCCATGTCTTTTAAAACTAGACCTTGGGGAGAGAGGGAGAGCGGTTGGGGAGAGGCAGAGAGTGTGGATGCTTCTGTGTGTGACTGAGTGTGTATGCCTGTGAGGAGAGAGGGAGAGGGAGGGAGAGAGAACAGAGCCTTGGAGTGTGCATATGGAGAGAGAGGGGGAGAGAGAGAGAGAGAACAGAGCTGTGTGTGTGTGTGTGTGTGTGTGTGTGTGTGTGTGTGTGACTGCGTGACTGTGTGCTAGGGAGACTGTGGGGTGTGTGTGTGTGTGTGTGTGTGTGTGTGTGGCACTCCAGCAGCAAGCTGTACCTTAAAGGTACAGACTGCCTCTGACTGCTCCCCTCCTCCTCCACCCCTAGCCAGACCACCTTCCACCACCATCAGCTAGGAACCTGAGCAGGACCAGTCCCCAGCGACTCCTGCGAGGGGAGAGAAGCAAACCCAGCGCTCTCAAACAGCCCCCCTCCCAGGTTGAGGCTGGGAGCGCTCTGAAGGGGGTCCTACAGGAGGGAGAAGGAAGGGGCTTTATTCCTGAGGAAGCAGGGCCTTGCAGAGGGAGGACTGGGGGCTGGGGAGGAGTGGTGCCCCAGCTCTGGGGCCACAACTGCTGGCTGGGGTCCCAGCTCATCATTCACTAGGGTGGGGTGGGTGGAGGGAGGCCACAACCTCCACACCTCTTTTGCAGGGCCTCCGGGACAAGGGCACAGAGTTGTGCAGCTATGGGGGATGCAGACCGTGAGGATGTGAGGGTGGCAGGACCACCATGGGGGTCTCTGGTGCAGTTGGGGAGCCCCTACCTCAAGTTTGCGCTCTCAGGCAGCCTTTGTGCCATCCAGGCAGCTGGGGCTGGCAGAGCAGAGCAAGGGCATTTGTTTTCCCCCACAGCAACCTGCCCCTCCCCCACCCTGACACCAAGGGAGGCTCCAAGGGAGGAGGAGATGGGTGGAGCACTGGGTAGCTAAAACCTGGTTTCTCCTCCGACCTCCACCTGAGACTCCCGAGACTCGAGCCTCGCTGTGTGACCCTGACCAGGTTCCTCACTCTCTCTGGGCTTCCTTTGCCCGCTCTATGTGATGAAGGAGGTTGGGTTCCGAAGCTCCACCAGACATTCCCCTCTTCTGAGTCCTACGACAGGCGTCATTTGATGAGAGCATGCCTCCATCCAAGAAGAGGATGAGAAATTACCCAACCCTGAATCCTCCCGGCCCTATCCCAGAGCCATAAAAAGTATGTGCGCTGAAGCGTGCGGGAAAATCTCCTGGTCCAACGCCTCCGTTCCAAAGTCGGGGAAACTGAGGCTGGGAGGGAGAGACAGAAGCAGTGATAAGCCCCAGATGCACGGGGAGTGGGAGCCCAGGTCTGGACTGGAGCCCCAGATCGAAGCGGCGAGGCACAGGCCGAGTCGCCTAGGGAGCCCGGGAGCCGGGCAGCAGGGAGGAGGAGGAGGAGGAGCCCAGGGCGCGCCCCTCCAGCCTTGGCCCCCGCGGGCCCCTTCCGGCCCCTCCCCCAGCCTGCGCACCGTCCCGCCACCTGCTCCCCCGCCCACTGGGGCGGGGCGGCCGCCCCCTCTCGTTCCCATGGCAACGCGCGGCCCCGGCCGGCCGCCCTGGCCTCCCAGCAGCAGTGCAGCCCATCTGGCCCCAAGCCCGTCCCAGCTGGGCCGCCTGAGGCCCCGGTCGCCGGGGGCCCTCACAGCCCAGCAGCGGTCTGAGACTAGGGCAGGAGCGCCAGGCGTCGGGCACCTACCTATGCCACCACCTCGGCTAGCTGCTGGGCTCATCCTGATGGGTCACAAGTCATACTAGAAGCCCTCCAGGACCCCACTCCCTACCCTACCCCTGCCCCCCTACCACCCCAAATGTCCACCCAGTGCAGCAGGAGGCAGCATCTCAGGATGAGAGGTCGGCTGTTTGGAGCCAGCCACTCTGGTTGCAAATCCCCAGGTAGTGCGATCTGGGCAATTTACCTAACCTTTTACCCTTCTGAAACTGGAGATGATCATAGAACCTGTCTCATAGGGTGCTTGTGAAGGTTAAATGGGTCAATAAAGAAAAATACGAGGAGTCAGCACTCAGTAATACCAGCTATTATTATGAGTGCAGGTGGCAAGTGCTCAAGATAGCCGTGGCAGTGGCAGCCGAGTAGGGATCCTAACCCAGCCTGGGAGTCCCAGGGGTGGCTTCCTACCGGAGGCCATGCTGATGGAATCTTAGGAAGTAGCCGTTAGCCAAGGGAAGAGGGAACAGCAGCAGCAAAGGCACAGAGGTGAAAAATAGCAGGGGTGGGGGTGAGGAGGGGTGTCCGGGAGACTTACAAAGCCCCCTCAGTGTTCCTGGAGAGTGTAGAAAAGCTTGGCTTTTGGTCAGAGGGCACGGAGACAGGAGCCGCTGAAGGGTTTTGAACAGAGGCATGACCTGTCCCTTGTTTTCTAGAGACCACTGCAGCTGCCATATATGCAGTGGCTTGGAGGGCCCCGTGGTCCTTTTAGGAGACGGTGAGGCTTCAACAAGGGGAGATACAAGGTCAGGGAAGATGGGGACAGATTCATGGCTATTAAGGAAGTAGACATGGCAGGATGGTGACCTGTGGACTGGAAGTGGCTGGAAAGGTCAGAGTCAAGGATGGACATGGGCACTTGGGTGGCTGGCTTGAGCACTGAGAGTGTGGCAGGGCCAGAAGAGGGGCAGGTCTGGGGGTGGGAGGTGCTACGCAGCTTGAGAACACTTGAGTTTGGAGCTGAGAGACAGAGACCTGGGCTGAAGAGACCATCATGGGGACATCAGTGCCTGGATGGTAACAAATCCTGCCAGGGTCTGAGAGCTGCCCCAGCGTCAGCAGAGGGTGGGGGCCCCTCACCAGGCCAGAGAAGAGGATTTATGCTTTGCGATTGGATTCTAAGCTTCATTTTCCTGGAACCAAGTAGAATTTGTCCGGACTTCTGACCCAAATTGTATGTGTGCTGTTATCACTTTCTGAGGTTTTGGGGTTTGGGAGGGTTGTTTGGGGTGAGGGAGGGGCAGGAGAGTACAAGGAGATATCATATTGTACTGACTCATCCCAGCTCTGTCCATTGCCAGGCAGGAGGTCTTAGGCAAGTCTTCTTATAATGCCTCAGTTTCCTCCCAGCTATCTATCTTGAAGGGTTATTGTAAGAAGGGCACAAAGCTCCTGCATGGTCTCTGGCCATCTTTATTAAACATGCAAATTCTAGAATCTTCTCCAAAATTCAAGAATATGAATTTCCATGGGTGGGTCTGGGAATCTGTAGGTAAAACTGACCTGTCATTGGGTCAAAGCCTCCAACCACCACCCTGGGACTCCTCTGGCACTGGCCCCTCCACAGCGTGGCCCGCCCCTCACATTTGCAGCCTGAGGCAAGAGTTCAAATGGCAGTCCCCTTGGGTGCCTGGATGGCTCAGTCGGTAAGCATCTGACTTTGGCTCAGGTGGTCTCACGGTTTGTGAGTTAGAGCCCCACATCAGGCTCTCTGCGGGCAACACAGAGCCGGCTTTGGATCTTCTGTCTGCCCTCCCTGGCGCGCACTCTCTCTTTCTCTTTCTCTCTCTCTCTCAAAAATCAATAAACATTAAAAAAAAAAAAAAAGAAAGAAAAACCAAATGGCAGTCCTCTTGCCAGTTTGTCCTTCTCTTCCCCACCCTGCTTCCCATCTATTGTTAAAGTCTTTGTGTGCAGACATGTGGACTCAGGCCCCCTGTCCAAGCTCCCAGGCACAGTTGCCCCCCAAACAGCTTCCTTGTCCAGCCCTCAGGCCTAAGGTTGCAGCACAGTCTGGTGGGAGGATAGACGCAGGTCCTGGGCTTAGAGCCCTTTGGGCAGGGAACTCCAGACGCCAGGCACCTGGAGTATGATCTAGAATGATAAACTTGGGCTCCAGGTGGCATGTCCTCTTGGCCCCATTTACACCACACGTTGGAGCAGGGGTGGGACTGGAGGAAGGCAGAGGAGAACCCTAGATAACAGAGTGGAAGCCGAGGACCAGCTGCCCAGATTTGTGGACTCCCCTGCCTCTGTTTCTACCGGCCTTTCCCACCAGGCCCTCTGGCTCCCAGCAGCCGTATCAAGGAGACTGTAGCCATTCATTCATCTGCCTGTGCCCTGCCTGGCTAAGGTCATCTCAGCCTCTGCTTCCAGCCTCTGCTGGCCCTGGGAAGTATAGCGTTCTGAGGCCTCCCGCACAGCTACCTCGTGGGCCATCACAGCCCACACATGCCCAGTCCCTGGCTTGTCATGGAAGATTATATTATTCTTTCAAAATGAAGAAACTGAGTCTCAGAGGAGACGAAGGGGGAACTGCCATTACAGAGCACCTGCTGAATGCCAAGTGCTGAGGCAGGTGCTTTTAAAGACATGACCACGCAACACTCCTGTCTGAATGATCCCCAATTTGCAGGTGAGGACAGTGTGGCTCAGGAGGGGGAGGTAACTGGCCCAGAGATCACCCAGCTGGTGGGAGGCAGAGTCAGAATACAGATTGGTCAGACTCCCGGGTCCAGACCCCAGGGATGCACAGTAGGCCTTCGGTAAGGCCTGCCAAGAGGAGCGGAAGATGGTTGGAAACCTGGACCCACCACCTCCGGCGAGGGCCACGGAATGTGAGGAATGTCCATCCCCGGGGTAGGGCTGTGGGCAAGGTGACCTTTGGGAAGATAAAGTCAAATTCCAGTCCTTGGAGACTAGCAGAGGTAGACCTGGGGTGGTACTACCAGGGACCAGAACCAGCTGCAACGGGGCATCGGCCCCCAAGCCCCTCCCTGAGCCAGCAATTACAACTGAGGCACGTGATGGGGGTGCCCAAGGGGGGCCACCGCCACATCAGCCCCTGCTGTCCTCTCAACTGGAATCTCCTTTCCCCCACCCTGCCAGTGACACTTCAGCCACTATGCTTCTCACCCTGTCCCCAACTGTCACCTGAACACTTCCACTTGGAGGGCCCTGGGGAATGTCAGCCATAACGTCCATAACTAAACGCTCCATGCCCCCTGACTCACCATCCTCCCTGGGAGTACCACCTCCATGCCCCAACCTGATCGCCTAGATGGCAGGCTGCTAGCCTTGCCTCTTCCTTTTCCCTCTTACTCCATTCAGACTCAGTCTCCCGTGTCTCCACCCTCTCCCTGCTGCCTCTGGCCTCCAGCCTCAGACCCTCCAACCCAATCTCCCCATGGCAACCAGAGTAAGTTTCCAGATGTGGCAAATAAAAATACAGGACTCTCAGTTAAATTTGAATTTCAGGGGCACCTGGGTGGCTCAGTCAGCTGAGAATCCAACTCTTGATTTCAGCTCAGGCCGTGATCCCAGAGGCATGGAATTGAGCCCCGTATCAGACTCTGCACTGAGTGTGGAGCCTGCTTAAGATTCTCCTCCCCCTACCCCTCTCTTTAGTTTATGCTCTCTAAACAAACAAACAAACAAATAAATAAATACGGGCGCCTAGGTGGCTCAGTCGGTTAAGCATCCATCTCTTGATTTCAGTCATGATCTTAGTTTCTTGAGTTTGAGCCCCAAATGGGGCTCTGCACTGATAGGAGGGTGGATAGGGAGAGACCTGCTTGGGATTCTCTCTCTCTCTCTCTGCCCCTCCCCTGCTCATGTGCTCTCTCTCTCTTTCAAAATAAATAAACTTAAAAGAAATAAAAAGAAATAAATAAATTGGAATTTCAGACAAATAATTTTTTTTTTTTTTAGTATAAGTATATCCTAAATGCTGCATGGGACATACTTATGCTAAACAATTTTTTGTTGTTTATCTGAAACTTTCGATCACTGGGCATCTTGTATTTTAGCTGGCAACTCTAAGCCAGAGCATACTTCATCTCTTAAAATTCCCCAGTGGTTCCGTGAGGCATGGAGACTGGAGAAAGCTCCCATGCTTGGAGCATTCTTGCCCCACCATTTCTTGTCTGCCTGTCACCAGAGACCATTCAATTCTCAGAAATCACCTCTTCCAGGAAGCCTTCTGGCTTAGGGGCTGCTCTGTGAAATGGGAGGCTACCAAACTTCCCTTATCAGAACCCCAATTGCACTGCTAGACTCCTCCAGCAGTAAGAGTTCCATGAGACCAGCATCTTGTCTTTCTGTTCACCGTGTTTTAGCCTCCAGCACCTTGCATGTGCCCCGAATGACTTGCTGTGGAACCCTGAGTAAGCCCATTGCCTCCTCTGGGTCACAGTCTCCATCCATATGAGGAAGGCCACGTGATATGGTCTCTGAGCCCCCTTCCAGCTCTGATGGCTGCCCATTTCAGCCTGCCCTGGCACTTTGATCCTGGAGATGCTGGGCACGGGTGGCACAGGAGAGAACTCTGAGCCAAGCTTGGAAGACCTGAGGACAAGCCCTGGTTCTGCCTCTCTGCAGCCTCCGACAAGTTTCCCACCCTCTCTCAGCCCAACCTTTCTCTCCTGCCAGGCTCCGGACAAGTGGGGACCACACCGCCTGCTGTAACCTCGTAAGGCTGGAGAAGTCTGAAGCCAGAAAGGTAAGCTGCACAGCACAGCACCCGGCGCATAGGAGGCCCTCAAAAACACAAGATTCCTGCCCCCTCTTCTCACTCAACTGGAAGGGTGAACAACCCTGGAGGGGCTCAGGCAGTGGGGGCTGCAGAGCTCCAGGGGGAGGAGGGAGGGAGAAGCTGGGCTGGGAGCATTCAGGCAAGACTTTAAATCTGGTCTTCGATTTATTTATTTATTTCTTTTTAAAGGGCCTGAGCATCTTCTGCGAGGAATCCATCCAGCCCGCCAGAGACAACCTGCAGTCAGTCCCCCACTCCCTTGAGTGTTAAGTGTTCACCCTAAGTGCAAGGTGGGGACATGTGAGTGTAGGTGGAACAGACCCCAGGAGACCTGGGTCCAAGGACACACCAACGTGGGGGACTTTGTTCAGCCTTAGAGCTCCCATAATCTCCTCCAGACCCCCAGGGCCACCCCCAGGTAAACAGCTTGAGGGAGAACCGCGTGGTGCTCGCTGGCTTCAGGACAAAGCTATACCACCACCCCTGTTCCGGCCCCCTCTCAACCAGTGGGTTCACAAGATGGGAATGTCCCAGCAGGCTCTTCCAGTGCTAGGACAGGGCCTTCCCCAGGCCCGCTTCTGGTCTCATCTGAATGATTTGGTGTAAGGAACAGGGGATGGTTCCTTCTCGGATAGGTAATCCAGGGTTCTAGAGGATGAGACAACAGTGCCGTGAGCCTCCAGAAATGAATTCCTGCCTCTGGACAGGAATCTGAAGATAGATCAGGCTCTCTCACTCTGCCTCCTTCTTGGGCTCTTCTCTGTCCCCTCTCCTGCTTCCTTCCTTCTCCTGCTCCCTGTCTCTCCCAGCCCCTGCTGAACTAGCTTCCCAGGCCTATTAATCAGGCCTGATCTGACCTCAAGACCAAAGAGCCAAGAAGAGGAGGGAGGCAGGGAAGACGAAAGGAGGGAAGAGGACAATTCACCTGCCCGGAGACCTGGTCAGTGCTACTCACCTTTGCCTCTCTTGTCTCCTAGACCGCCCCCAGTCACCCTACAGGGCAGAACCTATTTATAGGGGAGCAAACTCAGTCTCCAAGAGCATAGATGTTCTGACTGGCACCACACAACTGATAAGGAGCCAGTCTCCAGGCTCCTAGGTGGCTCCTAGTTGACAGCCGGGAGCTTAAACTGACCCGGGAGGAAGAAGAGCATCTCCTTGGTCCTAAGGCTCTCAGTCATTCAGGGCTGAAGCCAGTCAGGGCAGGTGGGAGGGCTGGCCTAGCTAGTCCCTGTCCCAAAGAGGGCAGGTAGCCCGAGGCAAGTCACTTCACCTTTCTGAAGATCCTTTTGTCCAGTTAAAATCTGGCCGGGAGTGACCTTTGCCCTCGAGGGAAAAGTGATAAGTGCCTTGGCTTGTAGCTAGACTTGATTTCAAATTCTGGTTCTGCCTGTCCCTAGTTGAGTAGCTAGACACAAGTCACTTCTCACTGCTGTGAAATGGGAGTGATCAGGCCATCCACATGGGGTTTTGCTGAAGATTGGGCCCCTTAGACGGCTCCACAGCTGGTGCTCAAGGGGTGGAAAGAAATGCAATGAGAAAGCTAGTGACCATCAGCTGTGGGACCAGGCAAGTGGCTCCCCGCTACCCTGCCCCCACGATGCCAAAGCACTCTTGGGCCTGGGAGGGCAGACTAGAGACTCGTGTCTGACCTTTTACCCTCTCGGATCCCCAGAGAGCACACCCTCACTCCATCCTACCATCCTGGCCCTTACATACCCATCCTGCTCCATTCTTCCCTGGCCGACTCAGGGCTCTGTTCCCACCCCACCCCCAGTACAAAAGGGACATTTGACATTCTTTGTTCTGTGCAAGCTCATTCTCTGAGTGTGGGATCCACCAGGCCTCGCAGCTGGGACCTGCCACCTTCCCCCCCAGGCCTGGCCCAGCTCTGCCAGAGCTTTGTGCGGGAGGAGAGGGAGGGAGGGGCCGCAGAGGAGAGTCCCAACCCCCACCATCAGAATTGGCAGGAAGGAAACCTGGTGGGGGAGGGTGCCGGAGAGGTTCTAAGAGGACTGCACTCACAGGACTTGTTTGAGATTGGGGTAGGGGCTAACTTGAGGCTAAAACCTATTTTTCTCCTGGCTCCCAGATAGGGGCTCTTTTCACTAACTAGTTTCTTAGTAAATTTTATTTATTTACTTTTAAAAATGGTTTCATGTTTATTATTTCTGAGGTGGGGGGGGGGGTGGTGGAGAGAGAGAGAGAGAGAGAAAGAGCATGAGCCCTGGACGGGCAAAGAGAGAGGGAGACACAGAATCCAAAGCAGACTTCAAGCTGTCAGCACAGAGCCCAACGCGGGGCTCCAACTCTCGAACAGAATTGTGAGATCATGACCTGAGCCAAAGTTGGACCCTTAACTGACTGAGCCCCCAGGTTCCGCCTTAGTAAGTTTTAAAGAAACTGCTCCCAATTCTGCCCTGATTTCCTGTGTGACCTTGGGTGTGTTCCTTTCCTTCTCTGGGCCTTGGTCTCCCTGGTATAAAATGAAGGGAAAGACCTGGAGAACCTCTCATATGAGAGGGTTCCTGAGCCAGACCCTGGCCAGGTGCTGGGATACCACAGACCAGCCACCCTTCCAGAATCCGGTTCTAGGATTCCATCAAGAAGGAGCACAAAATGACTTCTTGAGGTAAAAGTAATATGTTTCCATGAAAGTAGGATCCCCCCAAATGGATCTAGCCTCCCTCCCCTCAAACTGATACAGTCCTGGACAACCTCCAAAGCTGTTTCCCCTCTTCATCTATCAATAAGCTTGTAAGACAAACGAGACCAAAATGGTGTTCTCCTTTTACAGAAAATAAGGCTGCAGGCTCACCGAGGACAGGCCCCAACCCGCCCTGGGAGTGACGCCTGAGCTCACTGGGGAAAGACAGATGGTGGATATTCTGGGTGAGGGCCCCACATGAGCAAGGGAGAGAGCTCAGGTAGACCGGAGGGGAGCAGAGAGAGGAGGCTGCAGGGTGTCGGCTGCCTGGCTAAGGAGTTTTCCCCACGGGCGCTGGGGAGCCACAGGAGAGGGGTTTATGCCAGGCCTGTGTCGTCACTACTGTTGTTGCAAAGGGAGTGAACGGTGGACCCAGACAGAGACCAAGGGAGCCTGAACAGCTGTAGACACAGGTAGCTTCTGACAAAAGGGCCAGGGAGCCTCAACAGGCCGTGGGGGAGGGGGAGCCAAGCAATTCCTCTCGGGGAAAGAGGGGAAGTGAGCGGGGAGATGAAGCAGGGGAGAGGAAATGAAAGATTAAGTGCATAAAGGCCATAAAGCTCAGAAATGTCCAGGCCGGATGGATTCCCAGTTTATAGACACATTTGCGTTCAAGGATGCTCAGCCGGGCCTGATACCCCAACAAGAGCAGCCGCACAAGGAGGCCGAGGGGATACTGGGCTGGAAGGGACCCCTCATGCCCCTGGCCTACTCTCTTGCTCCCCCCACCATTCCCAAGCTACCCCCCACTCCTCCGGCTGGCTGACAGCCCAGCTGGAAGCAATTGTGGGAGCCTCCAGCCCAGAGAGCTGCATCCCACAAAGGGCCCTGGTAAATAGCAGCCCACACCCCAGACGGCCTGCGCACACACCCCCTCCTTCGCAGCCCCCTGCCCGGAAATTTAAAACAACTGCTCAACATAGTCTTAAATCCTCCAGGAAGGAGCTCCGTAAGGAGGCCAGGCAGGAAGCATGAGGCTGGCCAAGGCCCTGCCTGGAACTCCCTCTCTCCCCAGCTCCCACCCTGAACTCCCCTGAAATACCGCCCCGCAAAGTCTGGCCACGGGCCTCTCAGCCCCCTGGGGTTCCTGTGCTGGTGTTCGCTTCGGGACGCTGCAGCTGCCGCTTGTCAGAATCGCCAAGTAGACAGGGAGCACCCTGTGCACGGGATGGTCTTGTCCCCTGCTTGTCCCCAGCGCTGGGTCTGCCACAGAGCAAAAGCATAGCGTATATATGAAGAAGAAGGAATAAATGGAGCCACCAGGTGACCCTGAGCTGTCACTGCTCTTTGGACCTCAGTTTCCTCATCTATCAAATGGGCATGATAACTTTTACCCTGTCTACTTCCCAGAGTTGTGAGAGTTGAACAAGAACCTTTGTGCAAGTGTTTTATTTTATTTTATTTTATTTTATTTTATTTTATTTTATTTTATT